CCCCCTGCCCCCCACACTCCCATTCCTCTGCCCCCCCCACGTGCCCCCTGCCCCCCCCAGTGCCCCCTGCCCCCCACATCCCATTCCTCTGCCCCCTCAGTGCCCCATTCCCCTCGCACCTCATCAGTGCCCCTGCTCCCGCCGCCATTCACCTTGGCCCCAGCGCCCTACCACCCCCCTCTCCCCCCCAGCACGTATCTCGCACCTTGGGCCGGATGTGCTGCATCTCGCCTTGCTGCAGCCGCCAGAGCACGTGCTGCGTCCCGTCGCCCCCCAGGCCGAAGTTGAGCGCGTGCAGTGGGGAGAAGAGCTCGCGCCAGATCTGAGGGGACAGAGAGTCAGCGCCAGGGGCCATGGGGGGGCCGTGGTCCCTGTATGGCACCCCCAGCCTGCCGGGGCAGGGCCAGGGCGAGCGGGGGGCTCACCTCAAACTGCTGGAGCAGCTGCACCAGGGCGTCCCCGATGAACACGACCTCGGGCTCCTTGTCTTTGCTGTCCGCGATGAAGCGATGGTGCTGGGGGGGCAGATGGGGTCAGGCAGGGCCGGGGGGCAGCCGGGCCCCAGAGCCTATGTCAGGCAGAGACTCCCTCACAGGCTGACTGGCCCAATGCTGGGCCGTGGCCCCTGTGGGGTGGGGTTCAGGGGGCCAGTTGCACGGGGACCCCGCACCCACCACCAATGCAGCCCCTGGGAGGCGGGGCAGGGTAGGGCCGTGTGGCGCTCCCCATGGGGCAGGGTGGGGCGGGGCAGCGTTGTAGAATCATAGAATCTCAGGCTTGGAAGAGGTATCAGGAGGTATCTAGTCCAACCCCCTGCTCAAAGCAGGACCAACCCCAACTAAATCATCCCAGCCAGGGCTTTGTCAAGCCGAGCCTTAAAAACCTCTAAGGAAGGAGATTCCACCACCTCCCTAGGTAACCCATTCCAGTGCTTCGCCACCCTCCTAGTGAAATAGTGTTTCTTAATATCCAACCTAGACCTCCCCCACTGCAACTTGAGACCATTGCTCCTTGTTCTGTCATCTGCCACCACTGAGAACAGTCTCGATCCATCCTCTTTGGAACCCCCCCTCAGGTAGCTGAAGGCTGCTATCAAATCCCCCCTCATTCTTCTCTTCTGGAGACTAAACAATCCCAGTTCCCTCAGCCTCTCCTCATAAGTCATGTGCTCCAGACCCCTAATCATTTTTGTTGCCCTCTGCTGGACTCTTTCAAATGTTTCCACATCCTTCTTGTTGTGTGGGGCCCAAAACTGGACACAGTATTCCAGATGAGGCCTCACCAATGTCGAATAAAGGGGAACGATCACGTCCCTCGATCTGCTGGCAATGCCCCTACTTATACAGCCCAAAATGCCGTTAGCCTTCTTGGCAACAAGAGCACACTGTTGACTCATATCCAGCTTCTCATCCACTGTGACCCCTAGGTCCTTTTCTGCAGAACTGCTGCCTAGCCATTCGGTCCCTAGTCTGTAGCAGTGCCTGGGATTCTTCCGTCCTAAGTGCAGGACTCTGCACTTGTCCTTGTTGAACCTCATCAGATTCCTTTTGGCCCAATCCTCTAATTTGTCTAGGTCCCTCTGTATCCGATCCCTACCCTCTAGTGTATCTACCACTCCTCCCAGTTTAGTGTCATCTGCAAACTTGCTGAGAGTGCAGTCCACGCCATCCTCCAGATCGTTAATATCCCTGTAGGGCAGGGCAGGGCAGGGCATTTGTGCAGGGTCCCCATGGGGCAGGGCAGGGTGGGGGTGTCCATGGAGTGGGGGTGTCCGTGCAGGGTCCCTGTGGGGAAGGGGGTGTCCGTGGGGCGGTGCAGGGGGTGTCTGTGCAGCCTTCCCATGGGGCAGGGTGGGGTCCCTGCGGGGCAGGGGGTCCCCATGGGGCAGGGCAGGGGGTGTCTGTGCAGAGTTCCCGTGGGGCGGGGCAGGGGGTGTCTGTGCAGGGTCCCCGCCCCACCCCCTCACCAGCGCCAGCCAGCGCCCGTCCCCCTGCACGTCAGCCAGCGGCGTGGGGGTGCTCGCCGGGTTCTTGTCCCCGTCACTCATGGTTCTGGAAGCTCCTAGGAGGCAAAGCCAACAGGTCAGGGGCAGCACACCCCCCCCCGCTCTGATAATGGTTCTGCCCTGACCCCCATGGACCTCGGGGGATGCAGTACCATTGCTGGGGGCGGGGGAGTTGGCCTTTATAACCTCCCCCCATGTGGGACAATGGTAGGGTCTACACCCTCAAGTCCTATGCAGGGTGGATAATACCATTCCCTGGGATGGGGGATAGGGTTTTTTCCCTCCTATGGTTGGGTCCGTTCTACCCATGCCCGAAGATAATGGTTGAATCCACTCAGCACACCCACGGACGGTACCATTTTCAAGGTGGCTGTAACAGGTACGTTTCTCAGCTACATCATACCCCCTTACGTGGGATAATGGTTGGTCCAGACCCCATGCAGAGTGGGAGATACCATTCCTTTGGGAGGGGAGCCGATCGTTTGGGAGGGGAGCCAGCGTATATTGACTGATCCGTACTCCTCAGGTTCATGCGGGGCGGGGTCAAACTCAGTTCCCAGGCTAGCGTATGGGGAAGGGGTCTGAGCCGCTCATAACACCCCCCTTGAAGGATAATGGTTTGGTCCGCCCCTTGAGGATCCCCCGGAAGGGGTTTAATCCATCCCCCCATGGGGACAATGGTTTGGCCCGCCCCTCGAGCCCCCCATGTAGAATGGGTAGGACCATTGGGGGGAGGGAGAGAAAGGGGGCTGGTTCCCCTTCTCCTACCCTCCTATGGGTATAATGGTTAGATCCACGCTGAGCCCCCCTATGCATGCGGGCGGTACCATTCCCCTGGGCCGGGGGGAGGCTCACCTAAGAGGCTGGCGGGGGAGGGAAGCGAATGGTTCCGGAGCCGCCGCAGCCGCCCGCACGTTCACTCTGCGTTGGGGAGCAGCGGGCGGAACCATGTGACAGGGGAGGGCTGGAAGGAAGTGCAGCGCCCCCCCCCACCGCCGCGCGGAGATGGTATGAGCCAGTTCGGCTGTACCCAGCACACACACCCTGCTTCCGGCTCTTCCCTTTACCCTCCCCGCCAGAGCCCGGCTGTTCCCAGCACCCCCCTACCCCTGAATGCAGCCTGTTCCGGCTCTTCCCTTTACCCTCCCCGCCAGAGCCCGGCTGTTCCCAACACCCCCCTACCCCTGAATGCAGCCTGTGTGAGACTCTAGCTGTTCTCACCCCCCCCCCCAAGTCTGGCTGTTCTCACCCCCCCCCTTCCAGCTGCATTA